TCGTCAAAGTCATTAACTTCATAAAATCTTGCCCACTAAATAATCGTTTATTTAAAAGACTGTGTGAATACATGAAAAAAGTATATACATCTCTTCTTTTACATACTGAAATCAGGCGGTTACCTCGAGGAAAGACAATAGCCGTATTTTTCAGCTAAGGGATAAGGTGCGTGCTTTTTTATAGAACACAGTTTGGAATTGAAAAGTCGATTATTTGATAAAAATTGGCTGCTTAAAATTGCCTATTTAAGCGACATATTTACAAAGACCAATGAACTTAATTGAATGTTTCAAGGCAAACAAGTTACTGCATTTACTGCTCACGAAAAAAATTCTTGTTTTCAAGAAAAAGAATTTTGCACAATTTGTATGCGCTCCAACAACTTGCTTCTCAGTAATAAAAGGCTTTCCAGAAGAAGAAAGAGTTAAAAGGGAAGCCATATTAAAGAAATAATTCAACGCCTGAAATGTTTGACTGAAGCTTTTAATTAGTATTTCCCAAATGGACAGCAAATCAAATATCAAAATGAATTGGGGATTAAATACCCATTTATGTCAATGCAGAACCTTTGATCGTATCAGCAGAGGACTATGAAACTTTTACTGAAATGACATCTGATTCATCGTTGCAAGAAAAATTTAAATTAATGCCGTTAGTGGAAATCTGGTGCAGTTTAAAATACGAACATGGTCATTTGTCACACAGAGGCCGTGTTGACACTTTTGCAACTACATGCATATGCGAAAAGGGATTTCAGTTTATGTGTCAACAAAAAAATAGACTTGAAGACGAACCTGAAATGAGAATTCAACTTTCATCCATAAAGCCATAAAGCGTAATATTATATTACGTATATCTGTGGTAATAAAAATCAGTACCATTTATCTCATTAACATTTAAATTTAAAAGTCCTGTTTGAATACGTTATTTTCTATTTTAATAATTTCTAAATTAAGGTTTTAAGCAAATAAATATCAAGGCACAATAACACGCCGAATAAATACTAATTCAGAAGTAAAACAACAAAAATTAGCGTTATATTTTACAAAATTTTCACGGAACTAGTTTCGATGGTTATTGAGTTTTTGCAGCTGAGGATGGTGGTTCGGTAAAACCATCGAAACTAGTCCCGTGAAAATTTTGTAAATATAACGTTAATTTTTGTTGTTTTACTTCTGAATTAGCAAATAAATATCATTTGAATAATTTTCATTTTATTGCAAATAATCCATTTACAGAACGTTGCATGAGAATTATACTATTTAAACAAACCAGGGAGTAGTATAAATAAACTTTTCTAGTGGACAATTAGAAAACTTATAAAAAACATTTATAAAATTCCACTTATAAAAAACATTTAGAAACGCTGCTCAGAAATATGGGTTTATGCGGTAATCGGCCTCACAATGCTATCAAATATCTGACTGAAAAATGCAAAATCAGTTCTTTGTAGAAGAATTTCCGAGTGAATCTAAGTTACAGAAATTGGAAATAGGTAACTTTGATTTCATATACTCAATCCAAATGGCTTGAACTATTATGAAAATTTGAAAATTGTATTATTTCATGCATCGGCAATGTAAACGATAAATTTAAAGATTCCTTTCAAAAAAGATTGACAAATGAATTTTAAATCTCTATGGAATAACTTCTTCCATCGTCATTTAACAGACCATTAACGATGAAACGTGCATAAAGAAAAAGAAACAGGGAGATTAAAAAAATCAAATATTATTAATGGTCGATATTTCGAGACACGTTGTTTCTTTCCTCTGAGAAAAGTTCTAGAAATTTCCAACAATAATCAAAAAATCAATAAAAGAAGTCTAAGCGTCGCAATCCAATTTTAATCGCAATTCGAAGAGTCGAGAGCAAAGCAACTATTCCCGATGTTCCAAAATTTCCAAATCGAGGAAGGACTACAGAAGAGCATTTAAAAAAATCTTCTGTCATTCTCGATATTGTGGCAATCAGAACAAATTCTGCGACGATACAAAAACGTTAAAGCAGGGTTTCTTAAACCTTTTTCTGTCGCGACCCCCTTTTATCACTGAGATTTTTTCGCGACCCCCATAATATTTACAAAAATTTTGTGGAATCCCATAAATATTGCGCAAATCCGACACACTCGTGAGTGAAACTGTTAATTTTCACCTGTACTGTAATATACTACTGCAGTTTTAGAATATTAATTTCTAATTATAAGACACAACAATGTGAAAATTTTAATTAAGTAACAGATGAAATGACAGCGTCACGTGCAAAGCAAGGAAAATGAACATTTATATTATAAAAAAAATGCGTCGAAACGTTTTCGTTTTATTTCTTTGTCTTTCAAAAAAGATTGACTTATTGTCTTATCTTTATCTATTTTTTGATACATTGTATAAAAATATTTGGTAATTGCAAAATTATTATAATAAATTAAAGAAATATCAAAACTGCTAAAATTTTTGGCGACCTCTTGGTGCAGGTCCCGCAACCCAGTTGGGAGTCGCGACCCACAGTTTAAGAAACCTTGCATTGAAGACTAACTAATTTCGTGTAATGTAATTCTGCCACAAAAATACTTGAGCTATAAAGAATTAAAGGTATTCTTTTCACGTGTTCTTGTGGTACAGTGATTACATATTGACCCAACATAAAACCAATCATCTGTTCGTCTCTGGAAGAGGAGACACTGTGACTTTGATTTATATTTTACGAAAAGCTAACTTTATGTTGATTTCGTTTCTTTATGTCTTGTTTCGTCACGTACTCCAGAAGATTATGAAAGTTTCTAAGAGTAGGTTAAAATCAGAAAAAAATCTTTAACCGATGTGTCTTAAGTAGAAATTTAGCCTCTACAGCCGCTGCTTACGTAAAGAATCCGTAATCCGAACGGATGGTGAACACCTGATGTTGGCAACGTTTGGTAAGCGTTGAAAATTAGTTGTGTTTTTCTGATCGACCCAGACAGTGTTGAGCTTCATATAGAGCTGTTAAAATTATAAGCCAACCAAAAGATTGTAGATTAAACATCAGCGAGTCGCTGTCAATGGGAAGGTGAATTATTTCTAACTATAAAATATAAAAGTGTCTTATAGTTAATTAAGCTATTCAGCTGATCTTATTTGCTTTCACCTAACGGCACTTTTAGAAGTTATTCCACTAGTAGGCAAATTAATTAATGCTCTTAATGTTTTCTATGAGCGCAAGATAAAACTCAGAAGATAAAGATTAATATAAAACTTTATTTCTTAGGGAAGGCAAGGCAATAACAGAAGTAAAGCAAAACAATTGATTCAACTTCCCGCCACACCAACATGCTGTTTAATCTACATGACTATAGCTGACTTACAGTTTCAATAAATCTACATGAAGCTACAACACTGTCTGGGTCGGACAGATGTCCATTTCAGATGAAGGCTAATTATGAATAAAGCAGAAAATCAATGAAATTTCTTTATATTCAAAATGCAAAATTTTTGCAATCCAAACGAAATTCGCCCGCAGAAAGGAATTTTCGGCCTGCAGATTTAATATGTCCATATTTTGCTTGTTTTAATTCCAAACATCACCAGTTGAACTAAAATAAATTTCTTTAGCCTTTTGTGCTAATTAATATATTAATAAGAGATTTTCAAACAAGTGATTTATAATAAAATGCTTTAAGTACTACTCATTATTATAACATCAGTCGGCATTCGGTATATCAAAAATGAATGATTGGTTAACTGAGTAAGGCAGAACAAATGAGGGCTACCTTTCTGAGAAAGTGACACCTTCAAGGAAAACTTTTTATTAGAAGCTAACTCGCATTTACATTATACAGGGAGAAAGCTATAAAAAAGTCCGTGTTCATTAGGATCGGAATAAAGGTCGAACTAGCAATGTTATCGATCCGAAGGCTAATGGGCCTATATCAACGATGTATAAATTAAATCGTTAATGTATAAATTATTGTAGAATTTTCTCATTGCAATCGGACTATAAGTATGTACTAAGTCCTGTTACAAACAAGTTCAGCTGTGTATATCGATGTAAAACTGACATACAATGTCTCATAATAATAAACATGAAAAATCAAAGTTTCTTCATCTCTCTTATTTCTGTGCGGAATCTTTTTTTTTTTTTTTTTTTTTTTTTTGGTAAGTAAAAAAATGACCATTTGATATAATAACACAGATAATATCGGCAGAACTCTTAAATTTTAAAATCAAGGTGAAGACCTTGATCTTTCATTCCACCTCAACGAATTCTGGGCGTGAGAAAAATGATTATTAAGAAAATATGCAGCTCCAGCAAGCTAGTAAAAAATAAATAAATAAGAGAGAGAGAAAACAAACGGACAAAAAATAATAAAAATATAAAATAACAGTAATATAAAGAGAGAGACTTAAATTTACCTTTAATTTTACGAGGGAAGACCCTCGACCACTTAAACCACCCTCCCAAATGGGGATTTATTAAAAATAAATAAATAAAACAACAAAAATAAACAAAAACATTAAAAACTCGTCAGCTTCCTGCCTCACGCAGCGTTGTTCGCGCACGCGTCTTCCAGAAGGGGGAAACCCAAAAGTGGGTGGGGTGAATAAATCATGTGCGCCGCATATCACATAAAAATCGCGGGTGGGCAGGAAAGGGTTGTATGAGGAAAAAATATGGAAAGCGGGGGGAGACAACAACCGCCAACTCACCAACAAGAACGAAACAAAAATAATAATAGCAAGATCAGCAGCTGAGGGCTCTTTAAAAATAAAACGGTAAGGGGGTCGAAATAGCGAGAGGGAGGGAGAGCGGTAAGGGGGTTCTAAAAAGTGGGAGGGAAGCAAAAAGAACGGCATTGCTGGACTAGCTAGCTGTGCATTTTAGGCATCTCGATTCTCCACCCAATGCTTTTCCAAGTCCTTTTCTCATACCTTTCACCCTGGCAATTTGACGGCGAGGGAGGGAACGGGCAGGGATAGTGGTGAGGGGGGTCGCGAAGCGAGCGGGGTTCTTTTCTCATTGTGCAGGATCGTGACCCGGGCGCCTCTCACACACACGCACGGACGGACGGACGAACTGTGGGAACAGTTCTTGGCCGGCGTTCTCACACGAGACCAGCAGTATGCTTGGCTGACCTCAAGCGTTGAGCTGAAATAGGTGCGCGACTTTCTCACGCGCTCTGCCTGCCTCCCCCCTCACCGATCGTCTGCTGGTTGCACTTGTTGATTACGTGCGCATGTGTGAGTGAGTAGGGAAGGGGGGAGGGGCATTCCGTTAGTTTGTGTGTCGGAACAACCTGACTGCTTCTTGCATTGAATATCTATGCACTGTGCGTGCGTGTGTGTGAGAAAAGGAGAGACCCTTTGCTTTTCTTTTATTTTGTTTTTCTTTTTCTTTATTATTACTATCATCCACACCATCACCGAAAAGACTACTACCACCTTCAGTTGCATTTTAGACTTTAAGGAGAGTGGTTCGTCTTGAAAAGATTTTTTTTTTTTCTGGTACCCAATTTGCTGGACTTATGATTATTACATAAACCTCTTAATGCAAAATCAGACTTTACTATAATAATAACAATAATTGTTGTTGTTATCTTTTGATTACGTGAACGAGTGTTTTTGCAAATTTTGGAGCCAATCTGGAATACCAATCGTGTGTCACCATGCCTGCAGAAAGGCCTGTATCCAAAGCCAGCGAGAACAGAAGGGTAAGCTGAAATTTCAGATTCTAATAATTGTTGTTACGGAATGCATAATTTTACAAGCAGTCGTGAATATGTGTTACCTTATGTTTCACCCCATCTTCAAATCTAAATCATTATATACCACTATAAATAATTTTAATCACTAACCGGTATAATGTAATTCCCTGGGGGACGGTTAACATCGTATTTTATCTAATGGTTATTTTTCAAACTTACCTGGGAAAGTATCATTTATGTAGCTTTATGATCATTATTTTTTACCAGGGAACTTTTGAGCACATTTCGTACAGTAAAACTTATTCATTTCAACAAATCACTGATAATTTATTTGCAAACTGAGCAATTTTATTTATGGATCTGCATAATCCGACCAATTCCAGTTATGCGCAAATTATTCACCGTGCTAGTTCAAAGATAATAATAATATTGGTAAGATAGCATAATTATACACGAAATTTTCTCTTTCATGTACTGGTGTATAGCAACAACAGGTATTAACCTGAACCAAAGGTTACGTGTGTGGGTGTTACCATACGATAAGAAGTGGTTAAAATCATTTATTTTTAAATGCAATAAATTTTATTAATATTCGTATAGATAAAATAAATATGTTTTTACTACAGAAAATAGTAATATACCCAATGAAATCAGGTTGAAGTATGCACTCAAACATATTATTTCATAAACTGATTAAAAATATGTAGTTTCTGTTTTACTCTCTGTTTTTTAAAATAATAAGAATAGAGAAATTAAAAAACGCTTAAAATGTATCAAGAGTAAAATTAAGTTAGCATCTTTAAAGATAATAAAAAGAAGCAAAAATTTTATTTTTTACTAAATAATATTTCTTATTTTCATTATGCTGAACAAGAAAGTGTCAAAATTTTGTTTATTGCATTAGTTGTATGTCGGATTTTCCCTTTATTATAAATTGTCATAATTTAATTAAAATTGGGGAAAGTGCAGAATTATCCATGTACACATCGACATATTTTCACTTAAAAAGTCAAAGAAAATTGACAAAAATCCAATTCTTGTAACTCTTGTAAAAAGCACCAAACAAATAAATGGGCGATTCTGTAATTTACCCATAAAATTAGGATTGCATCAATTAAAAATAAGTTAACTACTTGCAGATTACTAATTTTCCTCATTTTATAGAAGTATTTTATCATATTTCATTTGCATATAAATTTTACATTTTTACTTTATTTTTTCCCTGCACATAATATATCCGCACACGCACATCAGAATCGTAGAAAATTGTTTTAGAATCCCTTAAAATAGTCGTAAAAAGTAATTCCTTTTGAAAACCTTATTTTACACTTAATAAATAGCTATCATCTCGTATATGGATTAATTAGTAGTTTTAAGAGCTTTTAATTATCTCAGAGAATTTCACTTAATTATATAGTCTGTATAAAATACGACATACTAATCAGAAGACAGTCTGCATGAGATATTTTCAAATAATGTATATCTATGATTAAAGTTATAAAGCTTTTATTATATGAATATATTATATAATTCTCAAAGGGGAAGCCTGCAAAGTGTGAAATTCTAAAAAACTAAAAAAAAAAAAAAAAAAAAAACCACACACATCTATTTGCTAGAATTATTTCTGAATTCATTTTGAATGATGATTTAGCTTCAATTTAATAATTATTTTTATTCTCTTTTTTAAATTTCAAAATTTTCAAAAATATTAACAGAAAATTTATTTGTTCTTTTGTTTGTGTACGTATACAGAATTCTCTTTTTAACTACCATCAGCGCATTTGAATAAAAAATTCTGTTAAAAGTAGAATATTAATTTTAAAAGCAGTCATAGTAGTTTCACAGAACTATAATTATTTTTCTTAAAATAAGCAGTGGTTTCATCCACCCCTCCCCCCCACACATAAAAATTAAGTTTACTGCTATTTTGAGAGATTCTAAACCAATTTTCTACGATTCTGATGTGCATGTGCGGAAATTATATTATGTGTAGGAAAAAATTAAAGTAAAAATTTAACAATTTAAATTCTTTATTTTTGCTTTTACCTGTATAAATATATTGTTGTCATCCTTTAAGAAAAGTTATCTCATTCTTTAATCCATGAATGTCACAGAATAATTTCTACAACATTATACACATCAAAAGAGTAAATATTACTGAATATTAAAAACATTTCATTCTTAAAATTAAATTTCGGTATTAAAAATTCAGATTAAAAACTGTAGTATTCATTGCTCTTAAATTTTTGTTCAATAATTAGTTGCTAAAGTTAACGATATCAGACTAATTTAAAGGTGTTTTATTGATATATGAAAACAAATTAATTGTTGATCTTTAAATATCGCGGCCTTAGTTCGAAAATTCGCCAGCAGGTGCGCTGCATGACAGGCAAATTGGTAAACTGTTCTGTACGCTTGAAAGTGCGCATCTTGATATAATATTCGATTATCTCTGTGCAACATTTTACAAATAATCGTAATGCTACTTGTATTGAACAGTTTATGTGTATTTTTTAATTTTATAACTTCTATTTTAGAATTTTATTTTAGATTACAAATTTTGTAAATAAATTTCCCAGGTGATTATTCCTTAACTCATGCCAAAAAATTTAACATTTCAAAAACTAAACAGATAAACTGAAATAGCTGCATAAATTCTAAATTATATTTATTTAAGAAAACGAAGAAGCAGACTTTTAAACTATATTTCAGAATTCATAATGAAATAGTTCCATATACAGTCGATAGATGGCGACATTGTAAAATAGAATATGGACGGGCATTACGCTAAATTTAATTTTAAAAAATCTTCGCCTTAAGTGAATTAAAAAAGCAGACCTCGCTGTTATCATTCAAGACAAGCGCTAATGTTTTATTTTTCGTCGTGACAAATATCCTTGTCGCAAGATGCGTTCCCACGATTATGTATTCTCTTAACCTACATTCAACTTCCTCATACGTGATATGCTGTTTTTCTTCTGTTGTTTTCACATTTTACATCCAGGCTTACAAGATAAAGTAAGAAAAACCTCGCAATATAGCTGCATAAACAACCCCAAGAATTTTAAAAGAAACAAGCGTTCTTTCATCGATTAAAAACAATTATTTTATATATCTATATATTGTAATATTATGCAAAATATTGTGAATATTCGAACATTTTACATTATGTATACAGCGGAAGGCAAGGGTGCTAATTATGAATGTGAATTGTATGATTATTAATGTAAGTCACGACTCGGACGAGGCAAAGCAAACACAGGTGATTTCAATTTGTCGTTATTCAAATGAATCACATTTTAAAGTTGTTTTTATCAAAATTTATGTCTGTAAAGAGTATTTAAACATTTGCCTTGGTCAATGTAACATCTGTCATAATAAGTAGTGCTCTACAGTTTTCTTTCGGCCGATGCACCCCTTTTACCATTGCTAGGCGACCATGTTCCCTTCCTTCTTTCTAAAACTCGAAAAATACACATATATTTATTTAAATTTAGATAATTGTTTAATGTGTTCTTAAACAAGAAAAAGTACTGAAAATGGTATAAATACCAAATCTTGAATAAAAGTTTTTTTTTATATTCATAAGCTGAAACTAAATACTTAACAGCTAAGTAAAAGGCCTGTCATCTCCTCCCCTGAAATTCTGAAATTCCTCACGATTTCGAATCGTGTAAAAATATATAAAGCCTATAGATGTATTTCTATGCATTTATATATTTTTTTATACTTTTGTTACTTAAAACTATTACTGTTTAAAATCACTTAAAATTGTAAAGTCTTTCATTCAATAGATCGATTTCTTCAGATGGTTTGTTAAGAATATAAAATTTCGCAAAGCAGATTTCATGCAGTCAGAATACAAAAATGAATTCGTAATTGCCGCAATTATTCTTTATTTTAGGTCATAGTTTCCGAATCTTTTCAGGACCATCACCTTCTTTTCGAGTTTTTTTCATCTCGTTCTTGAAAATATGAAACATTGGATATCATTTTTATGTAATCTGAATGTAAAATTTTAATTTGCACTCGCTCGAATGTAAATTAAAATTTTTAAGTATTATTGCATTTTAGTTAAACTCATTACAGGAAACGAAACGGTAATTATTAAATATTTCTCCATTTACAGTAAAGGGCCTAACCAGACATACACAAATGTCTACCAAGGCACGCGTGCATTCGACATTATCATATTTTCAGAATTATGAACTAATAATTTGCAACCTGTTACCTTGAAATAATATTAGTAATGAAATGAACCTGAATACAAGCGAATCAACATCTATGAAGAGTGGACTGACATAATTTAATGTAATTTTTGTAGAAATGTGTGATTGCAAAGTTTATTTCAATCGAATGCTTTAATGTTTGCTTCAAATAGCATTCAAGTACCAAATTTTCTTATTCGTATTTCGATTGCCCACTTGCTTTTCAGTCTCTCCTCATTGGCCCTGGTATTAATAACATCCCATCGATTTTCTCAGCACCCACTGTTGGAGACAATGCTTTTAGATGAACGATTCCGAATCTTTTTAGCGTGTTGTTGCATGCTTTTGGAAGAAATCTAGAGAAGTATGGCCAAACTTCGTGTGGACTGAAGAATGGACCCATTTCGAACAATACATCAATGATGAAAATGAATGCGTCACAAAATTTGCAGTGCAGCATCATCATTATAAAGCGCCTTGGTTTTTAGTTTAGTTAAGGATGAGGAAATCAGATTTTTCCATATATTTTATTTATAGCAGTAAAAAATCCCCCTTATGTCCAAATACCCCGATTTGTTACCTGAAACCCATCATTTTATCAGGAATTTTCTCCTTCCCCTCTGTGTATTCACGAGTGCGACTATAGTAGCACAACCGTGTAGAAGTTGGTAGATCCAGAGTTCGAACCCCAGCGACGACGTAGCTTCCTTCTCGCGTGCCTCATTTAAAAAAAATTATAAAAGGACTATGCCAGTGGCGCTGAATCAAATTGTAGTGGACGATAATTCGTCATCACTTGGCTTTGATGAATGAATATTCTTCTTTTCCCTTTGCCCTCTAAGTAAAAGAAAATATAACGGATTTTTGCCTTCCTATGTGTGTCCTCGTAGTATAACAGTCGAAAGAGACGGAGTTCGAATCATGGCGAGAGCATAGCTTACTTTCTGTAGCTACCCGAGATTTTACTACTTTGCGTAACATTACCATGTTCACAAATTGGTAATTTTAATATCAATTTCAGGAAATTTATCAATGTTTACAAGTATCTGTTATAACTAGAAAATATTGCCAGAATAATAAAATGACTCGAAAATATCATATCTTAACTTAACACAGCATCCGTTTCTTCACATCTTACCTGGGAATTATCGGATTCGAGCTCATTCTGAAGCGAAAATTTCATTGCATATGAAACTTTGATTTTGTTCATACATTTCTTTTTGTTACTGGCTTCGACTGTGCATCAAAAGCGGCCTAAGAAAATTTTAAACATAAAGATTTTTTCTCCCAAATCTAGGTTCCTATTCTTCCAAATTTTAAAAGTATTTTCACGGGTATACTTTTGCGTTCGTAAATTCTTTTACGCAATTCATTGAAAGCAATTTAATTCATAAAATATAAATGCCAGATATCTCTTATTCGCTTACCCAAGGAGTGGACTTTTACTTTTAATTTAATATTAGTTTAAATTTAAAACGATCTAAGTGTTGAAGAGAAAAGAGAACTCTCATTTTTTTGTTAGCAAAAAACAATGACGTAAACGCAACATTTGCAATTTTCTCCTCCTTTCTACTTAAAAGTATTTGCTTTTGCAAATACTGCTCATATAAAGGAGCATTTTCTTGCCAAAATACAAGTTTTTTAACTCTAAGGACTATATTCAGACATCGCGACTCACCGCAAAAGGGCCTTAGTAGAGTATTAACGTAACAAATTCATACATTGTTCAGGTTTAGAAAAAAATTTCAATCTCATAATTATTTATTATTTATAGATGCTGTAAAATGCTGATTAGTTCGCGTAAAACTTCATGAATGAAAAATTACAGAACTGCTTTTTAAAGTTTTTTTTATGAAAGCATTTCATTGTTACCAAGGCAGATATTAAAGAAAAGCTATGTAGATTTAAAATCATCATAGCGATAAGTGTACATAACTTTAGCATGCTAATTAATCTGCTCTATCATAGATTGAGAGATTTCCTTGGTAACGCATCTAGGTTCATGAAGGTATTATTGATTTTTAAGAGCTCATTTTATGCATAAGTCTTCTTATTATGCTATCAGGGTTTTACAGCATTTTTAGATAATAAACAAATGTTGAGATTAAATAATATATTAAATAGGAGCAGTTTGCTTTGTTAGGCATAATAACGAATACGTGCAAAGTTATGCATATTTTTGTACAGAATTGGCTTTAGAACCACATGCGAACCAATCTTGGAATAGCTTGAGAAATAATTTCTGTAAAATTATGCATACTAACCTTCCTTAACAGCAGAGTAAAAGATTTCGTATCATTATGTAACGCAATCTACTATTGTTACTTTGGTTGTAACACTGAGATGTTTTCAAAAGTTACTTTTAAAAAAATAGTTCTTATTTACGAAACTGCGTGGAAACTAATGAACTACTAAGACTATATATATATATAGGATTATTTCTTTCTATTTTATGAAATTTCTATAAAAAATTGTCGAGTTTTATGATCTAAGTATACCCTATTAGCAATTAAGGAGTTTTAGTTTTTTAAGAGATCTTTATGCTAGTATAAATTACCTGTGTTTTTCAGTACTTGAGAAATTAAAAAATATTGCATTACTATTTTCTTTCAGGCAACAAAACCCATAATGGAGAAGAGGCGCAGAGCACGAATTAATCAGTGTCTCTCCGAACTTAAAACATTGATTCTAGACGCTTTGAATAAAGACGTAAGTATACAATTTTTCTTAATTATTTAATTTCCTTTAGCACTTAAAATCATCTCCCCAAAATTCATCAATATTAATTAACTGACATACATTGAGAAAAATAATTGTTATTTTTCTGTTAAAATAGCCTCTCTGTAAAACGCAGCTTGAGAGATACAATTTATTTTAAAAATCTTAGCTGCAGTGACGTCAATTATGTATCATTAAAACCACTTATAATTTGAACTAGGTTTTATAATTGCAGTATAATTTGTAATATTCACTCAAAAATCTCTTGCTGTTGGTGTAAATGCCATCGAAACAGAAATTTTACATCTACCGAATGCTAGAAAAACATTGCTGCTGCCATAATTTTGATGCTGAGACGATTGCGGAGTACTGTGGCAAAGAAGTCATGGGCCATCATAAAAAGGAATGTGCTATTTTTAATCTAAGTTTGAAAGGATAAGATATGTTACAAAATGAATTTTTTCAATTATATGTTACCAGTTTATTTTAATTTTATGCTAAAAATCACTTATGCTAAAATGCAGCTACAACGACTCGTATTTTTATTTCCGAGTTATGTACTTCGTATCATAAATAACAAAGGTGAATTAGTAATTTCCTTTGTAGGTAACCTAACACTAAATTCATCAAATTGCTAAAGAGCACCAGAAATTATTTTGTGCCCGATATCAGCTAACAACTTTTTTTGGGGGGAAAGGGGTTTAAAGTATGCAGCCTTTCATTTTATCCACGTTTTCAATCATTCGAGATTGCGTCAGTCGACATTTATGGGGTTAATTAGTATTTATCTTTTTCTGCAATAAAAGATAAAATTTGATAGATAAAAATATTTCGAATACCACAGCGCATGTAAATTGTGAACTGAAATAATATGATCACATGTTTAAAATTTTTTTTTTTTTTTTTTTATTACAGTTGACAATATAAATTTATAACATTAGACCTTGAAAAGTTCTCTTATTTTCGTTATGAGTAACGATAACAAAAAACAGTAACGAGTGTCCGCTTTAATGTAATTATTAGAATTTGGACTAAAAATTCGCAGTTTGCTCTTAAGCTTCATTTGGAAATGCTTCTAAATAGTATTTATTACATTACACTATTTAAGAATTATCCGCATAATTTATTCCATCTTTTAAAGATTAAAAACTTTGTTATGAGCTGAAAATTCACCTCTGGAAGGGAAATAGTAATGACGGAATAGAATTAATTAATATTAAGGAACAACGTGTTTTAATTGTTCAAAGAATTTTTGTTAAACATTTAAACCTTTTCTTTAAATAAACAGCTTGTAACTGAAAGTAATATGAAAGAATGTCCGCTATGCATTAAAAAAGGAGGAGTCTTTTGATAAGTTTATAAGGTATTTCTCCCACTTCCCTAGCGTGCCTTCGTGGTGTAACGGTAGCACGCTGGGCCGGTATTCCAGAGATTCGTGGTTCGATTCCCGGCGAAGGCGGTTGCATATTTTTCATCTCTTGGGTTTCCGAAAATCCTAATGTCTCTACAAGTTATTCAAACCATCCAGCATATTTAAATTTTCTGTTTACTTGTAGGGATTTATATTTATTTTAACTGATAATTTAAATTTAGTTCAGACTTTCCTATAGCCTTCCTTCCCTAATTGTCAGTGCCAGAATAGTTAAATTTGGTAGCGCGCGTGACGTGAATGCAAATTCTACCAAGAGGAGGAAAGTTTATACACCGAGGTTTTAGAAGGAAAGTTAGAGAGAGTTGGGCTCGAGCAACCGTCTCTACCGTAGATACAATTGCTGATTGCTGATTCAAGTGGCTTAAATGCATTTATCTGTGCACTAGTTATAGAGCGGGTCGAAGTTCGGTATCTCGCCGAGCCCTGTAGATTAGTTAGCACTTGTTAACATTTCAACTTTGATTTCAATTACCTGCTGTTCAGTTACCGCCAAGTCGAGGGAAGTTGTTAGCGTCGAATTGAGTGTAAATTTTAAAGAGTTAATAAAGGGTTTGAACCCTTTTTCTGTGTACTTTCCTGCTACTCCAGTTTACAGATAAAAGTTAACCCACCTGGACACTACAACGTAAAATGGGAAAGGGTAGAAAACTGCCACATTCTACAGTTTGATAATTTTCTCTTCAATACGTGCATTTCCTAATTAATTAAATAATCGTTGGAAAATACTTTTGATGTTTTTGTTTTGCGAGATAATTTCTAAATCAAACGACCTTTGGAAAAAATTTTGCCTTCGCTTTCTTTCATAAGCTGGTTTCACGTTCAGCTTTAACGTTTTGAACTTCCTGCCTTAAAAAATGAGACTTATTTTTATATTGATACTCATTAAATTTCATGTGGGATGTCTGCACTCATGGTAAAAACCCGATGATACCTGGTAAACAACCACTCCGCAGTCTTTGCTTTGATATATAATGTCTAGACAACATTTCAATTTGTTTATCTTTTGGTTATGTCTGAGTCACTTAATGTGGTATTAAAAGGTCAAATTTTAGATGAAATTGCTATTCTTGTTTTTAAGGTCTACTCAATTTGCACTTTTTAATTTTGGACATTGCAGTTATAAATTTCTTTTTATAATTCTAATACATTGGCAACCGCTGATATTATTAATTGTGATCGTTTCTAAAAATTTATCATTCCTCTGTGAGATTCTTCAAGACCATAGTTAATAACGGATAATGGTTCTTATAATTAACGGAAGTCCTGTAATTCTCAAAATCTCAGCCTTGAATTATCTACCGAGCGCGCAATAAAATTTGTACGTCTTCTCATAGAGATGACCTAAATGGCCGGAATAAAAACTTCAGTATAGTTAGTTAATCATACATAAAAGATCGGCCAACATTTCAATGCTGAGGCGACTGTGGAACCTTACCGCAGAAAAGTAATGAAACGCTACAAAACAAAAATTAATAAAATTTCTACAGAACATTTTAAGAAGGTTCAATGCAATTAAATACATTACTTTTTTTTTTTCTTTCGTCTTTTATTTTTCATTTTTTTAAGAGACGGGTCGTTCACATTAAATTGAAAATGATGTCAAAAACCGCGAATTAAAAAATTAAACGGACGGAAAGTCTTGTACGGAAGTCAAACCACGTACTTTCGTACTCGCGTTTTTGTTTTCCTAACTGTTAAGTATGAGGATCGCTTGAAGATATAAAATATTAGATTTCGTAATTTTTCAAAACTGATTTTTTTTTTCAATAAAAAAATGCACAAACATGACTATTTGCGTGTAATTCGGAACAATTTTTTTTAATGAAAGTATACGTCTGCGACCAACAGTTGCTAGGTTAAAGCCTGGGTAAGACATTTACGGACACTATATATAAATGTATACGCATTAATGCTTTTGGTTTTATCCGAGTTTTCAGTTATTAGAGGTAAAGTTCGTCGATTACATTGGATAATCGGGAGTTCTATCTAATACGCTATCTTTTTTGATATTGTACTTCATTCGACTTTAACAATGAAGTAGCTGGTTAGTGACAAAATAAATACAATTAAATTATTATCAAAGTGCTTCAAATTCACCCATGCGTTTCGTAAAAGAAAGAAGGAAAGGAGAAGTGGGAACGTATATTTCGTCACTTTGAAAGTCGTATAAAATGATTCATACTTTAAATGCTCTGTTGGTTTTCGCGTCACTAGTGTGTGGTAATCATTCATGTTTTCCCACCATCTTTCACCACGTTTAAATTTACCGAAATGTGTTATTAACGATTCAGGGTTTTTTATTTAATACTAGCGTTAAAAAGATAATATGAAGTGAAAATCAGTTAATAATAACAACTGAATTTTTTTCTGGTTTCACTTTAATTAATTTTCTTAGATTTTTAACAAAACTAAAATTTTTAAGTTTTATGTTAATTAAATGCTAAACGTAATAAATTTTAACAATATAAACCAAAAATTTAATCAAAACAGTAATTTTAAAACGGCAAATGTCAATAAGCTTTAATAAAATTAATTTTCCATGTTTGAATGAAAAATTTTAATATTAGGTTATAATTTCATATAGGAAATTATAGCACTCCATACTCAGATCAAATAACAATGATTGTCATATACAGTAAGACTCCGCTTAATGCTGTTTCGTTTAGCGCTGTTTCGGTTTAGCGCTCTTTTATTTCAACCCGGGGATTCTCCGAAATTGTGCGCAGCACTAGGTTTCCAAATAACATATCCGAAACAGTGTAGTTGTGTTTCTTGCTTGGTGGACGCATTTTTATCATTTGAAACATTTGTTAACATTATTGTAGGTTTCAATTTGTATAATACTATAACGATTAATACAGTGACAAATATTGATCTTAGTTTTTATCATGGGTGATAATAAAAACAAGAAAAGAAAGCAACCAGAAAAAGCATTTTCACTGGAAACTCAAATGCAAGTGATTAGAAGATTAGATTCTGGTGAACGTCAATCTCACAATTAGTGCTGCATTGATTTTGGCAACTTCAACAATAAGGACAATTCTTAAGAATAAAGAAAAATACTGTCATCGGCAACTGCCAAACTACGTCAAGCTCTGCAACTAGAATTACCCGTTCTAGAAATAACATTATAGAGGAAATGGAAAACGACTGTCTATATGGATTGGCGACGAAATTGAACGCAATATGCCATTAAGCCAATCTATCAATGCCTTCTTAACAAAAAGGCAGAAAATTGGAAACCCAGAATAGACTGAATGATCTGACTGAGAATTTATTTGTTTTTAAAGTATATGCGTTTATATTGTTTTTTTTTGTAAGAAATAAATGTTTGATTTTATTTTTATTAAAAAAAACATTATTAAATTTAATGCCTAACCATTTTTTATCCGTCTTCCCCTAACCCCATTATTTACATGTTAAGATAGCCTCGCTTAGCGCTGTTTCGCATTACGCTCTACTTCGATGGAACGTATCCCCCGCGTTAAGCGGGGTCTTACTGTACTGGTAACAACATACGTTCTGTCGTTGTTAGTACTTCTTTAAAATTATAATATTTATATACATAACTGTCAGTAGAAATGTAGTTTGAAAATATTTTCTTTTTTTTTTTTCTTTTTAGCCATCTCGACATTCGAAACTAGAGAAAGCAGATATTCTTGAGATGACCGTTAGACATTTACAAAGCATTCAAAGACAACAAATGGCTGGTAAGTTTTTCAGTTTTTATACTTGTTATATTTAATCAAATTAAATATATATGAAATACAATACAAATTTGGTTGTCACTTCTTAACTATAGCATGTTCAATTGAAAAGCAGCTAAATATTTTAAAATGTCCTATGTCTAGCTTCAATAAATAAGTTTTGATGTTCAGAATGTACCCTCTTTTTGTTATCGATTATCAAGGCAATCAAATAACTTCATCTGAATTACGTTCCTGGCTTTCTTTCCTGATTGCATTATGGTGATTGAATCTTTTAAAAAATCTAATGCAGATTACATATTATCTTTAAAAGTAAGTACTGCGAATATGTGTATTTGTACTATGACATCATCAAAGAACTACTGCTTACTAAGATGAAGTTTTAAACTATAACGAAGAACTACTGTATTGACCCATATATAAGATTTTAAGTTCCGGATTTACGACTAGATATGGTTTACAAATTTTTAGTTATTATTTTTTGTATAATCAATTCATTATATCTCAAGTACAATATTGTACTGAGAAATTTTGTTGTTTTCGAGAGTAGAAATGTACGGTATAATAAGAATTCGTTTTCTCCTTCCAGCCGCTATATCATCAGATTCTTCTGTATTGAACAAGTTCAAAGCTGGATTCAACGAATGTGCAACAGAAGTGACACGTTACGTTAGTCGAATTGAAGGTGTGGACCCAGCACTCCGCCAGCGTCTTTTGTCCCATCTTTCGAACTGCCTAGCTACCATGAACACTGCCTCTCACTTCCAGCAGCAACAGCAGCAAGCGTCAAATCTCACATTCGGCGGAACCTTCCCCAGCATGCTGCAATCTCTGAGTGTACAGATACCCACCGGGATATCGACGGTTGGCATAGTTCCTGCCAACAGATCATCCAGTGACATCAATAATAACAACTCTTCACCTTCGGCACCTAATGGAAAGCTCTTCACTGGATTGTCTGTAATCCCCAGCCGTTTGCCAAATGGAGAATTAGCCTTCTTGCTTCCCAGCCAGGCCTTAACAGGATCCGGTTCAATGGCTTTCCATTTACCGTCCGTTAGCGCATCGTCCAGTCTGCCTTCTTCATCCGGTCCTGATAGAAATAGCCAATCATCTTGGCCACCCACTTCTCCGTCTTCCAAGAGGTCTCCAAGTCCTGATGCCATGTCTGAAGACAATGTTGTTCTTAGCCCATCTTGTAGTGATGCTGGTTCTGATGTTTTTGTTGACTCTTATCCGCATTCCAAACATCAGCAACAAGTAAAAGATATGGTTTTATCACCTCAGCCCCAGATAGTTCATCCATCTCCAAGCAAGGATCGACACATGTTGGCCGTACCTCGCCATCATCAAGGATCTGAATCAGAAAGCGTATGGAGGCCCTGGTAAACATTTAGGGACAATTGTCAAATTTTATGAAAGACTTGACATCCAAGAGCTTCCAAGAGCGTGTTTTTTAAAATTTTCAGTGATATTTTTCTACAGTTTATTCTACAATATTTCAAAAATGAACATAAGCTTTCCTAAGATATTAGAACATTACTATAAATCCCATGATGATTGTCTGCAAGAATATAAAAGTGTAGTTTATACAGAAACTGACTAAATTCCCAATAGTTTTAGGTGTTTATCTACGCATGTAAAATGTTTAAAGAAATTAATATTGCCGGTTTTATTGTTTTTTCATTTAAATTTTTGGAAAAAAATTTCGCTGTAAAAGATTACCCTTTCTTATTTATTAGTTTAACCATTCATTTATATCGAAACCTTCAACAACGCACAAGTGATTTTAATATTCTTAAAATAGTTTTTATTGTTATTTGTCATTAATGATGGCCTATCAAACGAATTACATAACTTTTAGCAGCTGTTTTACTACGTTGTGTTTTCATATTTGTATATCTCTGCGTAATATTTCCGATAAGAAGGATCAGCAGGAGGGCCTTCAGTCTTAATATTTGCTCTCAGATTTATATTTGTTACTTTTTATTGTTAAATAGATTTTTTTTTTCTTTTTGAATATGTGAAAGAAATTTTTTTATGTACGTATCAATTGTATACATTAGTTTGCTCTTTTGTAAATATTATAGATAAGCATTTTATTATATACTTTCCAAGCTGTGCAAGGAAGTAACACATTTTCGTCCCAATATAGCTTGATCTCAAAAAGAATTTCTATTTTGCTGCTAGGTGCTTGTACATGTTCCATATGTTATTCGAAAATATCACCTTGATGATCTCAAAATGTTAATCTATTCTGTGATGTGTATATAGAAAAAATTATATTTGTGTTTGAGGAAATTACACCTCAGTGCATAAAATTAAGTAATGTTCCCTTTTAAAGCCCAGTGTTAATTTTATGTATATATAATTACGTGTTTACTTGTGTATATAAAGGTCAATGCAGATCAAAATTATTTTTCTCAATTTCGAACTCATATACATTTTTTAGAGAGGAAAAGAGTTAAATTGTAGTAATTTTTTCGGTGTTGCCAACTCTACCGGTAAAACAAGGACGGTACCGACGTTTCCTTACTCCTCCCGATAAATTTCTCGGTTTTTAATTGGTCTGAATTTAGGTCATTTCTTTCAAATATAAATCGAAAAATATTGGCCAATTAAATCTCAAAATAAGATAAATGCTAAGAAGAAAATTTTGATGAAAAATTATTGAAACATATTAAGGAAGCAGTGTAGTTATCTCTTAATGAAACTTAGATTGTGTAAATTCTCTTTTTTCCCTTAAGTGAATTTTTCTGTTAGTTTATATTCGATATCTAAAATGTTTTAATGATGTTAAAAATACTTAACTAATGTTTATTAAGTAGACACGTGTATTTGATTTTGTAAAGTTTTTTATTTTCTTTTAAATTGCAAGATCAAATTAAATTAGTTTCATTTGTTATTAAATTTTGATTTAAAATAATTTTCATTAAATTCGTGCTGTAACTAGGTTAATAACCTGAGTTATGCATTTGATTTTAAGTAAAATTTTGTCAGTTTGTAATACTTTAAAGTCCTCATAGCACGAAAACGTTTCGGTCTTTCGTATTTCAAAGTTGGCAGCTAAATTTTTGGAAGACATTCCATCACCCTTGAATTCAAATGTGAAGTTAAAATTTGTGTTATTGTTAACAAATCTCATAAAAACTGATTTCAACATATTTCCTTTTATACATGTTGATATTTGAAATGCATAGTTTTCTAGAAATGTTGGCAGCCAATTTGTGCCTTAATATTGTAGTTAGCTGTATAAAGATTTGCATTTTTTGTTATGTTTTCGAATAAAAACAAATATTTAGCCACTAATAAAGAGTCAATAGTCCATTTTTAAATCATTTCATAAATTTTGATATACAGAGATGCTCACAGTTATTAAAAAGTTCAGTTACGAAATTTTAGTAAATATGTAAACGCTGTTATTTTTATTAACAAATTATGAATATTTGTGCATCCTGTCGTTTCCATTAATCTTGTCGTTGGTAGATTTAAAACACACTTCTTCCATCATCGAACGTTTCCTAAATTTCGTACTTTTTAATTGAAAACGAAATGAAAAGGGAAAAAACAAATTTTATCTCAATGGCGGGCCTTTCAGTCGACTTCGGCTTGGCCACAACTAAGGCCAGAAGTGATGGTCACTTTATTATGGAGCTATCTAATGGGTGGGCCACCTTTGCCCTGTATGAAGTTACAACCATGCCTTCTCCTGGTTTCCCTTTGGTATCGCCAGGACAGGATTTGACGAGATCCTAACGTATTTGAGATTAAGGGCCCTTTTATGAGGTATATGAGTCAATTTTTTTATGTGGGATATTTATTTATTTTATTTTATACGAGGGGGCAAGAAAGTGGGGACCCTAAGCTGTAGCTTGTTCAGCTTATACGTAAATCCGGTACTGGGTATTGCAGTCGGCTACCCTAACCACTATACCATCTGAACGACGAAATGAAAAATGTATTGCAATAAATAATTTTATGTAGTTTAGAGCTTTCTCTATCAGGTTAGAAAATCAATCAAATGCATTGAGTGAAACCAGAAATGATGATAACAAGTAACAAAGCTTATTTATTGTTTTTTATTAAAAGAGGAAATAATGACAGGTTCCTTTTTATTGCACATATTCGTTTTCTTTAGATCATTTACAAATATTTGCGTCTTTTCATAACTTGTTATTAAATTTGGCAGATTTCAAGAGGAGGTATCTAGAGTTTTAGTGGAGCTGTTTACGAGCTATAAAAGGTTGCATGAGCAATATAACAAAATTTCATAAACTAAAGCACTATAAAAATAAATATACAAAAAAAATTAATTTTAAAAATCTGAAAGGTTTCAGATTTTAAATTACGTCTAAAAGGGCGTTTTTTAACGCTTTGTGTGTTGCCTTTATTTATTAAATATCACATTCTTTGCACTTAAACCACAAAATTCAGTTCAATAGCAATGTCGCAAAATAATTTTAAAATGAACATATCTTTAGGATTTCCGATACACAGTTCCACGTGCTGGAGATAAAAAAAAGTTTTTTTTTTTTTTTTTTTTTTTTTTTCTTTTCTTTTCTTTTTCCCGTAGAGTGTTGCCATTGCTCGCTTTGAAATCGTTGAGTTTGTTACTTAAAAATTCGTTAAAGTTTTACAAAATATGAAATCGATCATAAAACAAATTTCAAATTTGATCTTCCACATGCCCATATTCGTAGGAGGATTACGTCATTCAAAATTCGATGGCTCTATGTACCGTTGTTTTATCACAATGCGAGAAATAAACATATATTTATGCAGAATTTTCATTATTTAATTTCTTCGAACATAATGCAAAACTCTAACATTTGGTGGCAACAGTTTGAAAAGTGAAACGGGCATTTATAGTGATTCAACGCAAAATCGCAAAACAAAAATAATAGTCCTAAAAATGTATAGTATTATAAAGGAAAAAAAAACAGATATTCATTTTAATTGACATTCGTAATGATACCAATGTAATTTTTTGAAAGTATTGTAAAACTCAGATTGCATATAATAATTTTGTAGCTCAAATGTTGGCTTCGTCTGCTTTCTTACTTTTTCTTAAAAGTATAGCATCTGAATTAATGTTTTAAGTGTCATTCTTCCAGTTTATATCATTATTCATTATTCAGCGCAATTAACAGTTACTCAATGATTTTAATTCTGAGAATCGTTCATTTGGATTGATCATCGTTGAAAGTATGATCAATCCAAATTATAAAAATGAAACAAACTTTGAGCAGAATAGAAGCTCTGAACAGCATTATCAATAGTCTGAATACTACAAATATGAGTATAAAAAATATATAACTTCTCTAGTTACGAGTCGAATGTATTCATAAGATGGGAATCGGTTATATTACTTTGGAAATAATTTAATATTATTGCAATAAACTAGGAGGAATTTGCATTCCAAGAAAGAGTAAATTTACTTTTAAATCGTTAATTTTCCAACTTTGCAAATTTGATCATGAATAAATTCTAACTCTTTAATTAATCATATTTTTAATGTCTACGATTATCTTTTTATTGAATAATAATGATCACTTTATGCACAGTTTCTCTCCGCGGCACCTTTTTACATCGCCCGCGAAGGTCATGTATTCAGTTAATTGTTCGCTTTTATGGACTCTGTAAGAAGACAAGTAAAACAAAGTTTCTGTTTGTTTGTGTGATTATGGCAAAGCCTCGAGAGCTGTCTGCCTAAGGGGAGGGATGCCTTCGTGGAGGACTTTCTAAGGGAAACTGGCTCGTATACACGCCACCATGGAGGTAGGAAGTAAGATGGAGTCGCCCTAAATAGGTTTCTCCCATACCCTGCTCTGAAGCACCGGCGATCCCTACGTGGTGACCAAAACATTAGGTCATTTACCATTGAGTTCTATGGGATTTGACGCGTTCGGATGTAAATATTTTGTAATTACGTCGTAAATATACATATAAATGTATATATTTTCTTTTTCTACAACACTTCAGAGTCCTAAGTATGTGAAAACAACATATTTTTTAAACAACATTTCATTCTGAACGGAATTAAATGCTATACTTTTCACAGGACAGTTTTCTCAGAATGGTTTAATTTGAATGAAATATTTTCACAAGTTTTCGTTAATTACATTAGAAAAAAAAATTAAGGTGATTCGATTTTATTCGGTTAAGGTACAAAAATTAAGATCATTGTATTATTAATTAAAATTATGCATATTTCTTTTCTATTTATAGAGCTTTCTTCCTAAAATACTTTCTTAAATATGACATGATTTTTTGGCTTCTGAAGCATCTTTTAAATCGAAAAATGCAAGTCAATTTATAATTAATGCTCTATTCGGTTCATTTTAAATTAGAGAATTATTAGGAATTAGCGAAATACTTTAAATAAGTATTTCGCTAATTCCTAATAATTAATAGGTATTAAATAGTACTTGACTTTCTCTGAACATTTCTGAAAGGGAATAAATAAGTTTTTTTTTTTTTTTTTTTTTTTTTTTTTTAAGTATTATTTAAAACTTGTAACTGAGTTATTATAAAATGTAAGGGGAATAATTCTTTTAATTATACTTATCAGATTTTTTTTTTTTTTTTTACCCTTCATTTCAACAATACATATTCCAAAACTCTTTATTACGTTCTTAAGTGCGCATCTCATAGCATTTGCTTTACAATACCTTTTAACAGATTGCTTTCCAATACGAACAATTCTTGCTTAATAATTTTTATAACGTATTTGTCAACAGGATTTCAATTTATGTTTACAATTCAATATTAAGGTTCTTATATATTTAGATAACATTTATAATCATTATAAATTAGATACATTTAATAATTAGATTTCTTCACAGTACTTTCACAGTCGTTTATAAGTGAATAAATTCTTCATTTCAAATGCATTTATAAATAATTTAGTGAATATTTAAGTATTTTGTCAAAGGCAGATACATGCTTTTTGCAAGCACATGCATAAATACCCATACATATTTCCTATTTCCGGCATGTGCAAATCTTTAATTTCTGTGCATTCACTATATTTTTCGTGTAAAATAATTTACACTAATTTAGCATACACCCGAAAGTTTTACATAAAAAATATATATGAATATAATTTGAATGAAAATTATATGTATTATTTTTAATACCCACTCAAAGGTCAGTTTTTCTTCAAAATTCTTCCACGATGGCATCTCTCTCTTTAGGCAGATAGTCCTTGCATGCGTTACTCTATTTAATTTGACCTATGTGCCTAATTACAAATATTTTAACGTACATAATTTTATATTTATAAAACGTGTAAGCTCAAAGTGATTAGACTAGATCACTTCAGATACATAAAATTAAAACGATGGGTTTAAAATGAGCAGCAGTAAAGCCTCTCCTCTAAAAAATTTTGAAAGGTACATGTTACAATAATATATGGATGTGAAAAAAAATTGTTTTATTTAAAACATTTTGACGTTTGGAAAATAAAATAAAAGTAGCGAATACTCTATCAAGGGTATCGAAAGACGTATACAATTTTAAATGTACCGTAAGGTATTTTTCATTCTTTAAGCATAACATTTTTCTTAAAATCTATATTTTTGTAGTGCAACAGCTTATAATTTTATAAAACAAATTCATATTCAAAAATCGCTGTTTGTTAGTTATCGAAAAATAACCAAGATGTGATTTTTTGCGTAAATGTCACTAAACTATACAAATTGCTATTATCCATCCCACTATGAATGTTTCTTTCATGCGAAAGTGTCCCTTTTTCGATTTCTATGGAACTGTCGTGTGTCGAAATACTATCAGAATCTTGTCAAGCGAGCTTCTGAATGTAAACAAAGAACACCCCATCTGGTGACCCAAGCCTCAAAGCAGTGCTTCACTTTTAGCGCGGGTTGGCCCCTCCTCCCTTTCCTACCTCCATGCACGCCACAAAGTTTCTGTGAACACTTTCCTGTCTCTAATGAAATAAATAAGGGATTAGACATCCCTATTCAGTGGATGTCTGTGATCAAACAAAATTAATACACACATAAAGAGAACCGCTTATTTAAGTTTTCACAGATTTTACTTTGCATTTATTGTACACCTCCCATTCGGATATTTAAGTAAAGTTACAAGATTTTCGTGAATTCCCATCGATAGGTTTACTTATTTCTCTGAAAGAACCTTTCCTGCTTTACTTTATCTTAAAAATATAAATTCTGCAGCCGCTTAGAAATCGAAAAATAACTGAGACTGCACATTTCGAATGTTATCAGATTTCCGAAACTTGTCAGTGAAATGAAACCTCATTCTTAAATGTTTTTTTTTTTTTTTAA